AAATTTATTTGTGTGTGAATTTCATCATTGGAACCACTCCCACGTTCTAATTTTTTAATTTTGTTGGGAAAGGTTTATTGGAACCATAAATGGTAGATACCCGTTCTTTGTTAGAAAACCTCATTTATAAAACTGGGATTATTTTGGCAAACATTTTCCTTCTTAAGAATATATATAGAGTCGCGTCATTTATTGTAATTGAGGGTTAGCAAGAAAATTATCACTTGGTCTGTGTCGCTCATATGATTATTATTATTATTATTATTATTATTATGGTTGACTCGGTCTAAAGACCCTTATTGCTGCGTTATATGGTCAAATTTCAAAAAATAGTAATAGCAATTTTTTAATTCGTAATAAATTTTTTTTCCAAAAAATAAGACTACACGTGATTTTACTGCCAAATTTAGATATGATGGTCAAAATCTAGTCTAAAATTAGTAATAATTTTTCTAAGTTTAGAAATTCCTCGTGAGCATAGTAAAAGTACATGTTTTAAAAAAGAAAAGAACTCTACAACAAATAATTTTTTGAGAATATCTCGTTATTACATTAAAATTAAAGACCTATACTATCAGCTAGTGACGCTATTTTTTTTAAAAGGTAGGACAGAAAGTGACTTTTATATTTTTAAAATTTGCCCAAAATTTAGAGGTTTTAGACCGAGCCAACTATGGAGAGATCTCTATGAGTTCTACCAGGGGATGTATCATAGTAAATTATACATTGTACAATATTACTATATCACTAAATTATAAATATATACACTACACAATCGCACTTTTAAACGCACAATAAAGACACAAATAATTATATCATTTTGTAACTTGGGATTTTATTATCATGTTTAGGAAAATAACAATTACAAAAAATAAAATTCTAACAAAAAAAAAAATAACCACGTCGTCCGAGATTTTGACACTTGATAATAAATTTCTTGAATAAGCATCTACACTCACCTACCATAAATATCCGACCACACAAGGTGTGTAACGTCAAATGAAAAGAGTCCTTACTAAAAAAGTAACGTTTTCTTAAATAAAACCTTTTTTACTTTACCAAGTAGATATCAAAATCTCTAAATTACAAAAACTTCGAAAGGTTTGGTATTAATGGAAACATTTAGCAAATGGTCCAAAAAAGCAAATTTTCAATCGGAATCTTTCTTCATTGTAATGTATATTATTTCATTAATAAAATATGCTCAACGTAACAGATTACATATATCTACAATATGGTGTTGGCATAAATTAGTTCGTGAAAAGGGTTTTAAAAAAGTATCCGACAATCCCGTAATTTTATTATATAAAACGCTTAATAAAGTTGACAAAACGCAAATTTTAAGGCTTTACGTTTTGCTGTTTATACTTGATCAAATTTTAACCATATACAATTCAAGTTATTTTAAGCGGACTTACTTAATGACGTAATCCATGATTCAACGGAGTTTTGAAGGTTTTTACTAAGCTTAAAGTTTTCATAAAAATCACGGAATTTTTTATCCAATTTAAAATTTTCATTCTAAATTCATTATTAATGCGAGACTTTAAGCCTATCATGTTTACTTAATGCACCAGTCCCGGTTTGATTAATAAAATTTTGAACTGCATAAGGCGTAACATTAAAATGATAATCAGGTGGTCGGATATTTATGGTATATTGTTTTGTACCTATTATCATCATTTTTAATAAAACTCAAAGCGTCGGCCTTAAATGAAAATCAACATGATGAATAATCGGTTTATATATATATATATTGTATCGAACCACACGACTAAATTTCATTGAAAAGCAGTGACTCATGTTCAAAAATAAATTGATATTTATTATCACAAATAATTAAATGAATGAATGATCTCTCATTAAAATTTCGTTGTGTAACTAGTACAAATTTAGAAACTATAAGAATCCCAAAATTGTTGGATAATAATAATAATGTTACACACACGGATTACGCGGATTTGAAGATTGATGCCAAGGAAATTATCAAAAACAACAAAATAATTTTCGGGTATTACAATTGTCAAATTTTGGTAACCCATTTTCGTCAATTTGGTCGAAATTTATTTATTAGCATTAGTTTAATAAAAATGGGAACCCAAGTTGCAAAATGGACTCGACCTTTGCTCATGTAGTATGTATTAACATGATCTATTTATTAGATAAATTCACAAGAATAATATTTGCTTTTAAAAATTATAAATTTTATTAATCATATTAATTATCCGGATTTAAAAATTGTTTTCTGCATAATAATAGATGATGGTTGTTAACATGTAGAGAAAGTTTGATTCAGCCTCTTGACTTAAAACGCAAATCATTCGACAAATTTTTTCAAAAAGAGATTCAAAGGCTTTTATGAATTAAACTATTTGTTCTTTTTTATATTGACGATCTTGATGAAATGTCACAGTAACAGACTTATGCAGTTGAATCATTTGTTAACAGCAGTACTCTAGTTTCATCTTCGACATTATTAAACATCATCACCAAAAAATTTAAATGAGCAAATTATTAACTAATAGAAAATTTGTTTAAGATTATCACTTCCGTCTATTCCTTGGTTCCAGTTGTAGTGGTAGATAAAAATCCTTAAAAGTCACATCATCAACGATCTCTCCGTTCCGTTAGATGAAATCTGATTATTATCGTTCTTTGATAATATTTTAAAACAACAAGTAAAAAAATCAATCTCTATAATGAATGTCAATATTAAAAAAAGTGTTTAAAACTTACTTCTAGTCAATAGATCTAAGGATTCATCACTTTTTAATGTACTTGTGAACACATTCTGTTGACTTTCATTAAAATAAAGCGAGGCCTACTACACATTGAAAAAAAGGTGATTGATTATTTACAATGTTTATTGTATGATCAATAATTTTCCAAAAAAAAGTAAATAATGTTTTACTATTTTATTTTTTTCTTTGAATTTCTTCCATTTTGATTTTTTAGTTTTTTCTGCTGGTGACAAAAAAGTTTTGCATATCACTGCATATCAACTTTCAATAAATGAAAATGCTGCCTCGACATTTCTCAGGAAACGAAGATAACAATGAGTCATCAACAAACGCTTGATTCTTGGAAATAAATTATATTAGAACCCAATTATTTAAATATTATGCACTTTTACTCATTAAAAAGAAAGGTCAATTTACACCTACATGATGCGATGCGAGAATTGGGATTTTGTTGAATTTGCATTCGAGAGAAGCCTCACTTCTATTCACGGAACATTTGCATTCAAAAGGCCACAAGAGAAGAACCTGTATAGGAGAGAAAAGGATAATCCGACACACCTACGCCTATAATAGTATAAATAAATTATTTCTCTTTCTCTTTCTTCCGAGTGGGCTAGTAATAATAATAATAATAATAATAATAATAATATATTAATAAATTCTCTTCTTTTCAAAACTGATTCTTCAGAGTTTCGTTTTTGCATGGTCTTAGTATTGGGATATGCAAATTCAACAGCAAAGGAATATGTGTGCCAAATAACAGCATCATATCATCAGTGCTTAATAAAAAAACTTACAGCAAAAATGACATAAATCTGTGATAGATAAGGAAAGGGTTTATTGGAGAGTCTAATAGACCATGATTTATTTAAATAAGAAAGACATTAAACCTAAAATTTCTTTTACCCATTTAAATTCATAACAATAAAATGAATCCTGAAAATGGTAATATAAAATTTAGGATTGATGTTGGTATAGGAGAGGTAGATGTTGTATAGTTAAAGATACGATTATTTCCATGTTATCCAAGTTCATAGAATCGTCGCTTATCAGGTTAATTAAAGACAGCCAATTAATTGATGGGTTCAATGTATAATGAATGAATGAGCTTGGACCCTGAAGAATGCTAGAGAGACTGAGATAAAGCTAGAAAATCTAAAGCAATCAAAAATAAAACAACATACCCTTGATTAGCATTTGTTAACGACTTGACTAACTGCCTGCTAACCATTTATTTACCTTCTTATTAGGAAGAAAGGTCAACGAATATAAATTTTTATTAAATCCTTGTCTGTTAAATTTTGAAGTGATTATCGAAAAGGAACAAAATTGATTGCGTTGTATAAACCTTTTGATCACTTTTCCAAATTTTTTAAAACGTTCAAAGGTTGTATTGATAAATAAAAAAATATCATTTGATTAACATCAATCCTTTTCCAAAAACGTGAAGAAATATTTTGTCGTTATTATTAAATAAATATTAATCAACCAATATTTATTATTATTATTATTATTATTATTATTATTATTATTATTATTATTATTATTATTATATTATTTCTAATATTAAAAACGATCATGCCCTTTTGAAAATGCGAAGAAAAAAACGTAACGATTCGGAATCGATTTTTAAGAATCGACGAATCTTTCTTCGAAAAAGGGTCTCTCCTGCTGCTTCGAAAAATTGATTCGTTATTTTTATTTTTAACGTTGAAAATAACCATGTCCTTTTTGAAATGACGAAGGAAATACTTATTAGTATAAAAAATAGCGGCAAATTGATGATAAATCCATATATCGTAAATAATCAATAATAAACAATAAATAACAAATAACAAATAATAATTAAAAATAACAAATAAAAAATATGCGTCCTGCTTTTATTTCCAATTATTTATTAAACACTTAACTTCCACTGAGGGAACAATCAGCGAGACTGCACTTTATAGAAACAACAATGTTTTTAGAGAAGTTAACTTCAAAGGATATAATGTCAAGACGAACAACGTGTCAAGTTTTTTCCAAGCACTCGATGGTTGTTATGATTAGGAGATACGTCAATAGGTAGAAAATGTCTAAAATATAAATTTATTTAGATATTGAGGTCGGCTTCATCGCTTTTGCCATTGCTCTTCGGCTCCATGATTGCCGAACTTTGTGTAACTTTTAGTGATATTTAAAGCAAATCATTACTATTTATATATATTAATATACTATTTTGACTCTAGACAACCCAAAAATAGTTTAGACACCTATCCTATGGAAAGAATGTATGTGTAGTAGTAGTTTCAATTCAATTCTTTCGTTACTGTTTTTACCAATCAAAAATAGTCAAAAATAGTCATTTGTTTATATTAATTGTGTGCAACTTTACATAAAGAATAAAGATAATTCATGGCTTGATATATCATAATAATAACAATAATAAACAGAAATGTAATTAATACTTTTTATCCGGAAATAGCAAACACACAAAATATAAATAAATGATATAAATAAGCAAAGTTTTTCTTATTCCATAAATTTCAAAATTTAATTTCCCTCCGTTCGTCCTTTTTTTCCCCTATCCTATTCTTGCACTCTCCTTTATCATTAACATCGTTTTCATCACTTAATTTTTATTATTGCTATTATTATTATTATTATTATTATTATTATAATAATATTAATATTAAATAGAAATAGTATTAATTTATCATTCTCTTTAACTATAAAATATATACTCGCAATAAAATTCATCATATTTTCATATCATCATTGTCGTCGTCATCATATCCTCCATATTTGATTTTTTTTCTTTATTTATTATTTTAATAACAAAACGAAAAAGAAAAGTGTAAATTAGAATTAGAAAAAAAAAAAAAAAAAATGAAACACCTTTTTAAATCACCATTGTTATGTGGTGTTTTATGCGCATTGAGTATTATCAATACACATGCTGCACCAGCTGCCCCAGCTGCACCTAGTAAGTATTTTTTTTTTAATTTTGGCAAAGAAATCCAACATACGAAACAGAAATTAATTAAATAATAATAAATAATTATAGAAGCAACTGTTGGCGAATGGAACATAGTTGGAAAGTAAGCGTTATTATTTATAATTATATATACCCTTCTCCTATCTTCTATCCTTAGACCCATTCTCTAAAACAACCATTATTTTTTTTTATTTCTGATTAGAACCGGAGTATCCGCGATGCATTTAGTTCTTGTCCGACCCACAAAGGCCTTAATAATCGACAAAGGTAATTTAAATAATGATTGTTTAAAAAAACATCAAACTATTTAACGTGTCACTCGCTCATCATTCATTTTGTGTGAACGCGCACAATAAATTCGTTTTTCTCTTAGCGGAAAAAAATCCCGATGTCGCCAATGCAGACGGAACATTCGCATTATCGACAGAATATGATCTTCTGACAAACACGTATCGTCCTCTCAAATTAATCACAAATACCTTTTGTTCTGCTGGTTCCTTTTTTGAAAATGGCACTTTGGCTGAAGCTGGTGGTGCAGAAGTTGCCGTAAGTATTCTTCTTGTTTTTATCATTATTTTAAAAATAAAATAAAATAATTCGTCATATTGTATTAATTAAAAATATCATTGAAATATTTCATTAGTTTGGACATAAGGAAGGTTTTCAATCGCTTCGGTTATTTGATGCTTGTGATGATAAAACTTGTGATTGGGTAGAATATCCTGGTTATTTAAATAGTAATAGATGGTATACTACTATGACATCGTAAGTTTAAAACATACATACATACATACATACATACACACACACACACACACACACACATATGACATATAAATATATCATGGTCACATAACTAATTAATAAATTAACCGATTGAATTCATTCTTAGACTTCCCGATGGTAGAGTTTTTATTTTGGGCGGATCAACGAAAGCTACTGGAGTCAACAAACAAGATATTCAAAATCCTACATTTGAATTCCTTCCAAATAGTGGCGTAGAAGCTCCTAAAGCACCAATGCAATTCTTGATAGATACCTTCCCATATAATTTATATGTAACAGTTATAGTGGTTCCAGGTCCACCTGAACAAAATTGGTTATTCCTTGCTGCTAATAAAAAAGCACAGATCTGGGACTTTGGAACTCAAAAAACAGTAAAACAATTACCTGATATACCAGGTGGTCCACGTACCTACCCACTCACCGCCGCCACTACTCTCCTTCCTCTTAGCTACGAGAACAATTATGCCCCCGAAGTATTGATTTGCGGTGGTGGTACCGACATTGTGCCAGCCGCACCAACCGAAAATACGTGTGTCAGACTTAATTTGGTTGAAGCAAATGGTGTATGGGACCAAGAAGAATTCGGTGGAATGCCTAAAGGTCGTGTAATGGGTGATCCGGTCCATTTACCTGATGGTAAAGTTCTTATTGTTAACGGTGCTGCAGTTGGTTTTGCTGGTTATGATAGAGGACCACCTGAAAATAGAATTAATGTGGCAAGCGAACCCACATTTACTCCTCTTGTCTACGATCCTAAAGCTGCCAAAGGAGCCAGATGGGCTAAATGGGCTGACAGCACTGTCATTCGTGGCTACCATTCTGTTGCCACTCTAATTCCTGATGGTACCGTGTTTGTTGCTGGTAGTAATCCAAATGGTGCCTACTGTGATAACTGTAAACATCCTACTGAGTAAGTTTTCTATTTTATTGGAAAAAAAAAATGATGATGATGATAATAATTTAATAATTAATAATTAATAAAAATTAATAGATATCGTGTAGAAATCTTTACACCACCTTATCTTTTGAATGGAACACCAAGACCTACCATACTATCAGTAGCCGGACTAAAAGAACTTAATGGCATAAATCCTATTCCAGTTACATTCGGACAACTCGTCACAGTTACAATTCAAATCAGCGCAACAGCAGTGCCCGATGATATTATAGTATCACTTGTTCATATGGGCTTCATAACACATTCACAACATATGTCATCAAGATATATTAGATTAAAGGTAGAAAATTTAATACCTACAGATATAGGCTATGCTATTGATGTAACCATGCCACCAAATGGTAATATGTTCCCTCCTGGTAGACATCATTATCTTTTCGTAACATACAAGGGTACACCAGCTGCTAGTGCTGTTGAAGTCAAACTTCAAAAGGCTGCTACTTAGCCACAAGTTTAAACCAAGCCGAAATTAATTTATTAAATAAAATTTTTTTAATGTAATAAATAATAATGTAATAATAGAAAAAAATTTATTTGGGTTATAAAATAAATAATAATAATTAATATAAAAAAAATACTTTTATAGCAACCATTATTATTTATTGTATTAGTGGCGCAATATTTCTAAGCCATACATGTTATATTAAGCCTCAAAATATTTGAGGTGGCTCGTTTTCTACTATTATAATCTTAAATTAATTTTTATTATTAAAAAAGGTAACATCCTCCAGACAATTATTATTGATTTCATCTTATTTAGGGTATTAAATTTAATCATAATAAATTGATCTTGCCTCTTGGAATAATAAATTAACATCGTCTAATATGTAAGCAAATACGTCATTAGGAAAAAGTCAATTTGTGATGACCAAATTTGGTAATAATTAATATATGTATAGATCATTCTAGAAAATTTATGGTTTTGATTCAGATCAAGATCATATTATACACACACCACATTATAAAACATGTATTGACTAACACTGTATATGATTGAGAAGAAGAAAAGGTTTTTTTTTGTTTTTATTTAAATAAAGAAATTTAAATATATTTGGTTTTTTTTTTGATTTTTTAAAGATTTTAAAATTTTTTTGAATTTTTTTGAATTTTTTTTTGAGAGAAAAAATGTAAAGAGAAGAGGGTGAATTTGAAGTGAAAGATGAGTGAGATGGTATGGAAAGAGAAGAGAGTAAAAAGGGAGGTTATAACGTTGTATGTATATGTATATATATATATATATATATATATCTATGTATGTATACACACATATACATATATATATATATATCAATACATATATACATATATATATAATATTGATATAAATAAAGGGATTTTTTTTAAAAAAAAAAAGTGAAAAATAAAAAATAAAATAAAAATAAAAGAAAAATATCGAATGAAAGATAGATAGCGAGGAAAATGATGTATGATAGTGAGAGTGAGAGAAAGAGTTAGAAAGATAAGGAAGTGAAGAATGAATGAATAAATGAATGGATGGATGGATGGATGGATGGATGGATGGATGGCTCTAATTTACAAATCTCTATTTTTGTAATATATATATATATTTGTAAACTAGATTAATAATTATTATATTACTATTATTACTATAATAGTAATATGAGTATACATTATACATTATATGAATTTGCTAATTAATACTATTAATAATACTATAAACATATTATAATAATTATCATCCAATTATTCTCGATCATTATCATTCCCAAGAACTTTCTACAATCTCTTTAACACGTCTAATGTATTCTTTACGATGTTCTCTGTATAGGTTGGCGGCTTCGGCATTTGCAGGTGAGTTAGGATTAGGATCGTGTAAAAGACTTTGAATGCTTGTTAGAATAGCAGCAACATCATAAGTTGGTGACCATCTATTCTGAAGAATATCAAGACACAATTCTCCATTTGCGTAAACATTTGGATGAAACATTTTAGAAATGAACTTGACTGATGGTGGTTTGTTTGGATAATTCTCATCAAATTGAAGAACCAGTTTAAATGTTCCATCTTCAAATGGTGTCTCGGCTATCATCATCAATAATAATAATTATTAATATGAAAGTGGTGGTAATAATTGTATTAATAATTTATCATGTAAATTAAACATAATAATATATAATAAGAGAAAAAAACTATTTATTTACTGTTGTGATGTACTTACCAGGCCCAAAAATAACAGCATTCCATAACAATATATTATCAGGACAAGGTGCTCCTGAAATACCACCAGGTGGATCATTCTGAAGACGCTTAAAGTCTCTCATAAGTCTTCTACGTGCTTCTGTTGACATTCTTTACTAATCTTTTACTTTACTTGTTAATTTGAAAATTAGTATAATAACCACCACTGGCGATTTGTTTATTTAGTTATTTAGTTATTTATTATTACTATATGTTTGTGTATTTAGTTATTTATTATGCTTTTGTATGTATGTATGTATTTTTGGACCTTTGATCAACTTATTTATTTAATTATAAAAAAAAGGAAAAGAAAAGAAAAAAAATTTTTTTTCTTTCCTATTTATTTATTTTTAATATTATTACTGCTACTACTAACTGCTACTCTATATTTATATTATTATTAAAAAATAATAAATTTTTTCATTTATATATATAACAGAAAAAAAAAATTTATATATATATAATATATTTTAAAATATAAATAAAGAATTTTATTTATAAAAAATAATTTTATTTCCACCAATCGCTTGTCTCTTGACACGTCATCGTCAAAATAAGATGGGGGGCATTGTGGTGTTCGATGGCTGTTGATCATCAAACATATGTTACATCAATATAACAAATTATTATGTGCGGATTTTTTATATCATACATTGTAAATGTTGACAACAAAATTCAACTAACTATATATTTTTTTGAAATCATAAATCATAAATTTTTATGGTAAAATTTATAATAAATTGAATAACTTTAAACCATTATAACTTTTTTTTTCATAATAAAATTAAACAAAACTTTTATAGCTTTATTGTTTAAGTCTTCTATAATAAAGTTACAGAGCTTTTTTCCTATCTCATTTGGTTATAAAGTTTTTTTCTATTAGCAATCTTTTTTCAATTTCTTTAGAATATATAAAAAAATTTTTTTTATTTAGCAAGAAAAAAAACTCTGTAATCTAAAAGCTTAATCTATTTACTATAATTTCCTTTAGTTTCATGTCTGTATCTCTTTATTTGAAGGTTCTAATACAATTTAATTTATATGGTTTTTATATATATTCTTATTTTTTTAAAAAAAGTTTGTTATTGATTGGCATTATGTTAATCACCTAATTTTTGATTTAATTAGGGCATCTCACACCCAATGGGGCATGCTGCAACAAAACCAGACAAAGTGAACATTGGTATTGCCAAGAATTTCAGGAATCAAATTTTAGTGTAGTTGGTGGAAAGGGACATTGCTTATCAATAAAAAACATTGTTTTGAGTTGTTTGAACAAATTCTACATTCAAAGATATGTTTTATAAATCTTTGTTTTTCTCTAATTGGCATTGAAACAAGCTAAATAATCCCACCTTATGTTGGATCATTATAAAACCATCATCAGATCACTTATTATTCAGGTAAAAAAATCAAATAACAAATCCTTTAATAATTGTTAAACACAAAAATCAATAAATCAATAAATAAATATTTACAATATTTTCATTCATAATTGCCACCCCAGCCCCACAAATTTAATCATCACATCATTGATAAATGTCACATAGGTTGTGTTGCTCTTTTGGTATAAAGACTAGTGCCGTAAATTATGATGATGGTAGTAATTGTATTTACAGCATATAAAAAGTGGTTGCAATTACCTTTGTGACCACTTTTGCAACCATGCTTTTTCCTTTTTTGGATTACAGCACTAGTCTTTAGTTCTGTATGTTTCATAAAAAGAACCTTTCTGTATATAATATTTTCCTTTAAAAAATGCTTACTTTCAATAATGAACTTTTATGCAGTTGTTTATTGGATTCTTGCTTGGATTCTTACTTCATTATAAAACTTACTGATACATGTAAAGATCCCAAGAAAGGTACTAGATGAAGTATTTGATTAGGAATATCTATATTATTGCCATATAATCTTTTCAAAGTAATAGCTTTACAAATATAATATTGACCAGGAAAATCAGCCAGAACTGCAATGACATTCTTATTTAAATATTCCTAAAGTTCTGGTAATTCAACAAATGGTGTTACAACTTCAAGATAATTAGATAAAGATTTCAAATCTTGAGGAACAAAATCAACAAGTTTTATGGTATCCATTTTCTTATTTTCATGTAGATTACTCTGTAAATAAAGCTCTGCACGAATCAATGAAATTCAAATCAAATCAAATCAAATCAAATCAAATCAAATCACCTAATTTTTGATTAGAATCAGTTCAACTCAAATTGAGTCAAATTTGAATTGTACCCTGATTTGATTTGATTTGATTTGAACTATTCAAATATTAAATATATAATTTGATTTGAATTGAACTGATTCAACTCCTAAACTTTGATGAAACTAATTTTAATGGCTGAAATTGAGAGTTTTTTAAAATAAAGTAGTTTGATTTAGATACTTATTATATGTATTGGATGAAATGCAGTTTTGGCTACCCTTGTTAAATAATATCTTTATCAATTAAAAAATTTAAAAAATACACACAATCTTGGTTTAGCAGATAATTTGGGTAGATGATCAGCACATTCTTCTGGCACCAATATCATTACCATAACATTTCCTAGATGTGAATTGTAAAGGCTTTAGAATCTAATATTGATAAATTCTATAATAATATTATTCCAATATGTCCAACAATATATATTGAAGATAACAGAATGACATGGATTAAAAATATTATAAATGAACCAATATCATTGCAATTATTCAATATTTACATTCAAATAATTACATTAATCGATTAGAATTTTGGGCTGATAGATCCTTAAAAAATCCTAGTTCCCCTAATATCAAATTAGGTTATGGTTGGACCCAAGTTGATAAAAAATAAAGAAATTATTAACTCATTCTCAGGTGCACTGTCACAATGGCCAACATCAACATGTGCAGAAATCTTTTCTCTACTTACAGTAATTCTAACATGTCCAGCAAATAGTATTATAAATATATATTTAGATTCACAAGCCACAATTGGAGACAAAAATCAAAAATCATTAGATCTTGCCCTTAAAATTAATAATTTTACATTGTGGGAAAGCATTTATTCAACAATGGAACAATATAATTTAATGGTAAAAATAACAAAAGTTAAAGCTCACTCCAGTAAATATCCTCTAAATGAGATAGCTGACTCATTAGCCAAACTAGGAAGTAGCAATAACCAAATTCACAAAAATAAACATAAATAACATAACTAAAAAATATGTTATATTATATTGGAAAGATTTCTAATAGATTATCATTATAGAAATTTCACCAAACAAATATGCAAAGCAAAACATTTAAATAAATTCTTGGATCTCTCTAAATCAGTTTCAACCATTTTTCACTGAGGAAGAAATACATAAAATAGAATGGAGGTGCACATGGTTATCTTTGAGAACCAGTTCTTCTTCTAGTACATCTTTCAAAGACAGTAGAAGGAAGGCCTTCAAAATCAAACTGTTACTAATGAACTACTAGTACTAGAAATTTTAAAGAAATGTAGATCTGATTTATATGGGCAATTTACAAATTGTCCTAGGTGTAATTCAGCTCCTGAAAATTATGATAATTTATTGTGGTGTTCTATGGCTGTTGATCATCAAACATATGTATCAATATAACAAATTATTATGTGTGGATTTTTTTAGTATCTTTATCATATATTTCAACACATTGTAAATGTTGACAACAAAATTCAACTAACAATA